TTCCTTTCCTTTCCTTTCCTTTCCTTTCCTTTCCTTTCCTTTCCTTTCCTTTCCTTTCCTTTCCTTTCCTTTCCTTTCCTTTCCTTTCCTTTCCTTTCCTTTCCTGCTTACAGAGCTCCTAATGAAATTATGTGTGTGTGTGTGTGTGTGTGTGCGCGTGCGCGTGCACGCACGCAGTTGCAAAATGCCAGAATTGGCACATGTGGCCTACCATGTAACAAAATGCTTATTTGGGACTTTCTTTCCATGTGAAATATAATATAAATGCTCGTGACTGTTTAAATTCAATTATGCACACATCCTTCAGCAGTCAGCACATGGTTTTTCTTTATTTTCAATAATCCATTCTCCCCCCACCCCAAAAGAATCAAATACGAATTCCTGCCTGTCTGTGTCTGTCTTAAAGGTGGTGGACTATAGAGTGGGAAAAGGATTTAAAGAAAGGGAGGGAAGTCTGGACATCAGTGCCTGGGTATGTGTGTAAAACACTGAAAGGATTTGCATCTGATTGAAGGACGCTTTGAGGTCCTGGAATATTCAGAATATACAAGGTGTTATATTCGCAGATAAAAAAAAACCTGGCAGATCTTTGATTGTATTGTTGCAGCCCCCATCTTGACAGTTTTTACCAGACCCCATGGATATCCAAAAAAACCTTTCTCTCTCTCTCTCTCTCTCAATAAGTTTTAGAAAATTAAGCACGGCCCACATTTGCAGAATACTGAGTTCCACAGATGGCATGAAATGGAGAGAAAATTGTGACCTTCTCTCTCTCTTAATTTTCTAAAACTTATTTCTTTTATATTGGGCAGGGTGATGGAGAGGGGGTTCTTTGGAAACCCCACTGTGAGTTTTGCTCTTCCTGTTTTGCCCTGCAATTTTTTTTCTCCCTTGCCCAGATTTCTTGTACGAGAGGATCCCTAGGAAGAAGGATGTCTTGCAAACTCTCCACTCTCCCCAAAAAGTTGTATAACTGCATAGCCTCCCAGCCTCGAAATCTGGACCTGCCTTGTTTTGCACCAATCCAGCCTCTCTTCTTCCAATGCTTTTCATAATTCATTTTGCAATAGCAGCTTAAGATCCCTCCACTGTCTTTTTGCCCCCACAGTGCTCGGCAGAATGTGGTCCCGGAGTCCGAACCCGTTCCGTGGTCTGCATGACCAACCACATCAGCAGCTTGCCCCTGGAGGGCTGCGGGCACAACAGACCACCAGAAACCACCCCCTGCGACAACGGACCTTGTCTGGGGAAAGTAGAATGGTTTGCTGGCAGCTGGAGTCAGGTACCTGTACCCCTCTTTAGCTGGAACAGTCGCAAAGGCCTGTCTCAAGCCGTGGTGTAAGAAGGGCATTGCACACCATAAAGAGCAGGTGGGAAGGAGAGAGGAAAACTAGAGCTCTCCTTCGCCAGTTCTTAATGCTGTGCCTTTTTATGAACAGCTGCAATGCAGATGTAATAGAACATAGCCAAATTTCACTAGTTGTCTTATCACAGAAAGCTGGAATGGGCCCATTTCAAAAGGAGGAGTCATCTGTTGCTGATTTCTCAGCTGAGTGGGGAGGGCCGCCCCGTTTTCCACTTCTCCCTCTGCTCCTGCAGTTTGATGGAACCCCTGCTGGATCTTGAGAAGGTCCTGCCGAAATGTAAGCCATGATAAATATCATTGGGTTTCAGCAAGAGAGGTAATTCTGCACTAAACTCTGCAGAGCCAGAAGTAAGATATTGCCATAAATTTACTCTTTTCACACTGAGAAGGTAAAGTCAGAGCCATGAGCTCTACTCCCGGCAATATGTCTACCGATGGTCCTCAGGTTATGACCTCTGTTAACTGACCATTCAAACTCATGATGGCACTGAATGAGGGGGACTTACAACTGGTCCTTGGAGTTCCAGCCATTGCAACATCCCCACGGTCACATGATCAAAATTTCTGACGTCCCCTGCTGGCTTCCCACAAGCAAAATCAATGGGGAAATCACAGTCAAGCGAGGTCCTCACTTAACAACGGCAACCACAGACTGCCGGAATTGCCATCACTAAGTGATGTGGTCATGTGACATCATGCTTTATGACCGCATCGCTTAGCAATGGCAATTCCAGTCCCAACTGCCATCGTAACCTGAGGATTACTTGTATGTAGGTTGGCGGGGGGGCAACAATAATGAAATGGCTGACTACAGCCTTCTTGGAAGACCTCATTTTCCCTAAGATTTCCTGGTGATCTCCCATCCAAACATTAATCAAGTTCATCCCATTCTCCTTTCACACCTGTAATATTGTTACTGAATTGAACTGGCATCTAGTCATCAACCGCTGTAAAGGATTTGATTTTAACTTGACATTAACCAAGTTCAGATCTTCTCTAGCTTTTTAGATCAGCCAGATCTGTGTGAGCCTAAGTACGTGGGCTATAAGCCATCATTTATGGCTTAGCACAATGTCCATCCACTTGGCTTAGTCAACAGATCCTGGAACCTGTTCTGTCTGTTCCTTGCTTTGATTTGCTATTGGACTGCATGAATTAAATTATTTTCTCAAGAAAAGAATAGCTCAATTTGCTTAATTTAATTTATTGATTTATATCACAAACATGATTTAAATAAATAGGTTAAAAAGGATGGGAACAATTTAATTCATTTGATGTTCAGCTATAAACAAATCAAATTACAGCCTGCATTGTGCCACTGACATTATGGGTTGAGTCTCTCTTTCCTGAGACGTTGGGAGTTCTGCAGTGTTCCTGCAAGGAGGAAGAAAAGAAGGGTAAGAAGCTTGTGTTCCTCCAGGTGTATCTGAACTACAACTTCCAGCATCCACTACCCTTGGCCCTGGGATCAAGCATCAGGGATTTGCAACTTCTGACAACCCACACGTTCCCCTCTAGAACAGTTCAGATTTTAACCCAAAGAGAAAATCTCTTATTTAAATAATCTCCCTTATTTAAAGTGAGCATGATTGCAAGATCTGAGGCAAGACATTGCAATCAGAGTTGAAAGTATTATTACCCATGTTGAACCCTCCTATGCTCTGCCAGTAACAAAATTAGCACTTGAGATGGGTTCAGGTTGACCCAGCGGTAGATGGTAGGCTTAGATCCGAGAAACAATTCTATTCTTCACAGACATCAGACCAAGGAGTTGATTTCAGCTGAGCCCCAATCAGTCTTGATATCAGCCAGGCGTGTTTCTTCTTCAGTGCTATTAAGAGCTTTGGCACAAATTGCTAAAAGAAATCCCCACCTACCCAGCAGTTTTGTGTTTAGGATTGCCTTAAAATGGTTGGCCGCCCTCAAATTTGAGGTGGATTATTAGTAATAGAAGGAACTGTATTTTCAAACAGGAGAAGGGGCTACTAAGCAGATGTATGGTAGTTTTACAGCAAGGATGTTATTTGAACCCAGCATAAAAGTGGAACAGATCTGGAGGAGAAGTCAAGGACAGAGTGTGTTGACATGAAATTCTGATACATGATGCACAATCAAGGTTAGAGGACTTAAATGAAGGTTAACGCTGCTGACTCTTGAAGTATCTGCTGGAAAGAACAACTCTAGGCTGATGGCTTTTCTCCAGTTACCTTTTCTCTCTAACCTTTCAGATCTCTTACTTCAAATTAAAAAAAAATAAACAAGGAACATCCAAGGCAACAGCTTTCTCTTTTTTTCATGAAGGGGGAAGACATTGTTGGTGAAATTCTCATGCATGAGAGTGAATAGATATCATTGCTCCCTTTAATCCAAAGGAGAACGAGGTAGAATGCTGTTCTTACTAGGCTGCATGGATAGCTAAGGAGGCTGTAGACAGCAGCAAATATGGGTGCAGTGCAAACAAGACTTCTGGGTTTTTAAGACAGTAGTTTTTCACTTTTAAAAAAAAGCACGCCTCCGCTTATAAAAATGAGGAAACTTGTTATCA